GGGGGGGGGGGGATTCGAGGAGGAGGGGTCTTTCGATCGAGGCCGGGGTTGGGAATGGAAATGGAAATGGGACTGGGACTGGGAGTGGTGCTTTGGGTGGACTTGCGGATGGGAGGGAGGCGCTGGATGTGTTTGCCAGTGGGAATCGCGACATCGATGAGAATCATGGGCATTCGAATGGGTCTAGGGTTGGGACCTGGAACGGGATTGGTCCTTGGAACGGGTCGGCTGTTCCAGGTATAGATGAGAAGAGGGGGAACTCGAGTGGTCTCGCTGGCGTTGGGACCGGGAAAGAGGGCGGGACTTGCAACGGCTCGGCTGCTCCGAGTATTGATGAGAATGGGACCTTGAATGGTCTCCCTGGTGTTGGGAATGGGAAAGGGGTTTGTGCTGGGAACGGCTTGGCTCCTGGAAGTGGGAAGGGGTGGAAGGGGACTGGAGCTTGGGCCGGGAGCAGGAATGGCGGGTCGCATGGGACGACGTCGGGGAAACCCAGGCAGTGTGCAACACATGGAAACTGTGTCGTCGCTCATTTGGCCAAGCGAGATCAGAATGGCAACTGTGCGACTGTATGTGGTCATGGTTGTGGTGACTGTGAGGGTCATCGCGGTGATGATACCTATGACGATGTTGATGGGGATGATGACGACGCAAGATTTTTGCCTTTGGCAAACGATTACCCAGATCGATTGGCGGGTTTGGCGTTGAAAGCCAGCCCAGAACAAGTTTGCTTGTCCCTGCTGACCAGTACGAGATCCATCGCTGGTGGCGATAGTAGTAGTAGTCGTGATAGTAATAGCCATAGCCATAGCCATACGAATAGCCGGTTTAGGAAAAATAATGTTAGGGGTCGTGAAGATGAGCGGCTAGGGGATTGTAGGACGACGCTTCTGAAGGGTTGTTGCTGTTCTTCTTCTTCATCATCATCATCATCATCATCTTCGTCGTCGTCTTCTTTGTCTTCTTCTTTGTCTTATTCGTCTTCGTCATCGTCGTCGTTGTCGTCTTGGGCTGCCGGCGTGAATGGTAATTGCACTTGCATTGCGAGTGGTGACAGGATAGGGGGGGACAATGGGAGCTGCTGCCTGAGGAGGAGGAGGAGGAAGATTGCAGGAGGCGATCAACGAATGATGAAGGGTGGGAATGTCTGTGTGGATGGACGTGGCAGCGGTGGTTGTGGTGATGGGTTTTGCGGGATTGCTAGGGGAGAAGATGCTGGAGGGAGGGGGAAAGAGGAGGCGGCGGAGGAGGAGGAGGGTGTGTCCTGCGTTGCTGCTGAGGTTGCGGGCAGAGATAGTCGGTCTTGGAAGAGCGGCCTGATCTGCGAAGCAAGGGGTAAGAAGAGAAATGCCGGAAGAGAGGAAGAAGACACAGGGGTAATTACGGCGGCGGCAGTATCCAAGGACGAACCCGATAACTTCGCGGCAGAAGGTGATGACGATGCTTATATGATGAAAGTGGAATTAATATGCGGGCAGAATGGGCGGTTGGCGATGGTGGAAGCGGCGAAGATGGTTTGCTTGTCTGCTCTGGAGAGGTGTTCCCGTGGGAACGGCGCTCGCAACGTGGCAGGTAAACAGCAAGGGTGGGGACCACCACAAGTTCAACAATTGGACCGAGATTGGGAGCAGGAACAGGGTTGGGACCCTGAGGATCATCAACTGGACCGCGAGTGGGACCAGGAGGAACAGGGTTGGGACCACCACCATAAGCCCTGTCAAGCCGACTTTGAACGTTGTCTCGCCGCTGTTGGGGGCTTGACAGTGGAACCCGAGATGATTGTGCTGATTGGCGATTTGAGTTGCCTTGCGGGCTTCCCGCCCTGGCAAGTGGGCTTATGTGAAATCATACAGTTGAGATCGATCAGGGGCATTCATCCTGAGTCTTTCCTGAATGTTCTCCGAAAGTACTCGAGGACAAGCCAGCGATTTGGGAGATGACACTCAAGGATTAATGCCCTTGAGGGGGGGATTATGATTTAGGGTTTAGGAACTGTAGACAGCAGATAGGGAGAGAGAAAAGTAGTGAGGAAAGGAAGAGGAGAAGGAGGAGGAAATGATGATGAAGGAACATGAAACACGGAGGTGGTGTAGGCACAATTACAGAGCCGATGGGTGAGGGGAACGAAAGAAAAACAAAACGGAGAAGGGGAAGAGATCTGGAGAAGGGGGGGGGGGAGGTATGTAGTGGGGTGTCCAGCCAGGAAGAAAGCTTATGCAGGGAGGCACAGGGAATCAGGAGAGGAGAGAGAAAGGGGAGGGCTGGCAGGGGAGACAGGGAGTCAAGAGAGGAGGGAGAAAGAGGAGGCTGGCAGGGAGGCAGTAGGAGAGAGAAAGAGGACGCTAGGAGAGAGTACAGCGGAGAGGAAAAGGCGAAAATCGGCGGATCGAATCCATCTACGGTCGAGATTCATTCACCTGCTAAGGAAGTGTCAAACCTACCGGTAGCTTGTGTGTTCCTTGGCTCCGAGTTGCACTTTCCATTCGTGCATGTGCTCGGTTGCGGTACAGACAGTACAGACAGTTGGCTCTGTCGATGACTGAGTTCCCCCCCCCCCCCCCCCCCACGTCTGCGATATCCTTGTCTCAATTTTTTGGTCGTCCGTGATATTATGTCACAATCAAATCAGATTCCAGTTAACAGTTGAAAATAAATGTGCACTTCAAAGTCGAGTTTTGACCACGATCTTCTTCTTCTTCTTCTTCTTCTTCTTCTTCCTCCTCCTCCTCCTCCTCTTCTTCCTCTTCTTCTTCTTCTTCCTCTTCTTCTTCTTCTTCTTCCTCTTCTTCTTCTTCTTCTTCTTGTTCTTCTTCTTCTGCGTCGTCGTCGTCGTCTTCTCCTCCTCCTCCTCCTTCTTAGCCTATCTTTACGATCTTCTTCTTCTTCTTCTTCTTCTTCTTCTTCTTCTTCTTCTTCTTCTTCTTCTTCTTCCTCCTCCTCCTCCTCTTCTTCTTCTTCTTCTTCTTCTTCTTCTTCTTCTTCTTCTTCTTCTTCTTCTTCTTGTTCTGCGTCGTCGTCGTCGTCGTCGTCGTCTTCTCCTCCTCCTCCT